GTATTTGTTTGTTTCTCAGAAGAGAAATAGGACAATAAATAGTGTTTGAAAGTGTTTTTATGGATGTTTTGTTTATTTTGATGTAGGACATTTCTTATGTACAGTACTTAAGTGAAGTGATCCTGCATTGCCATCCTGCCTAGAGCTTTTGCCCCCCTTTGCCCCCCCATGGAAAATTTTCTAGATCCGCCACTGTGAAAAACAAGGAAAAATGGAAAAAATATATATTTATTGATGTTGGCCCTAAAGGCCCGTCCCACTATAATGTTTTAAACAACTCCTGCCGACTTGTGAAAACTTTGTAATGACTAAATCGTACAGGTTATAGTCATCCAATCGTTAGCATTACAGCACGTTTTGTCCAAAAGAAGCTTCCGGTACAGTTTTTTAATCCCATCTTCAATGTAGACGTTTTCAGTTTTGAACAAAATTGTCTAAAATGTTATATCGTGACAGATTTTTAATTTTGATCTCTTGTGAAAATGGTGTGAGTTAAATAAATATACAGTGTGTTTCTCTTTAGTTGTGAGTGTTTAATGAACTGCAAATGTTATTTTTTAAATAGAAAAAATAATTTAGGCTTTTAGAACGGTTTAAAGTGAAATTCGGTCCGATGCGTGTGAAGTGAAGAACAAAGCAGTCCCAGATGACCAGTTTTACCTACGTTCTCTCTTTGGGCACAACTTAAAGGTCCACTGAGCCAAAACAAATCTCTGCTCCATCTGCTCAGACTGAGACTTTAATGTGACGGCCAGCAAGTCCAACAAAATCCTCTCTTTGCCATCTGCATTTTACTTCCTGAGAACTGGACTCTAAAATAAGGAACTAAATGGATCAGCTAAATATTGGTAATGATTGTGATCCAAATTATTTTATGTATTTCTGTGAGATTTTACTTTTTTAACACATTCTGTAAATGACTTAGCTACCACACCATGTTTTAGTATATCTGTAAAAGTCTGAGCTTTCCTGATTTGTATGCTGATCCAGTCGATAACCATTCAATCAGAACAGCTGAAAATGACAAGCAGGGTTTTAGTTTCTTGTCACGTTGTGACTGGATTTGTCGAACCATGTGTTGTCATTTCTCCTAGCTAAATTGCGGTGCACCAGGAAAATTGAGAAATGTAGTGTGCCTTATAATAAATCCTGAAAAAATGTTAAATGATTATTACTGTTGGGGGAAAAAAGGGGGGTCTTAAAAGATGCAGAATAAATGCAAAGAAAACAGGAACGTTAAGTAAATCACAGTAAAATCATTAACGTGTGTAAATATCCTGAATCGTTTAAAAGTAAATGATTCAATGAATAAATAAATAGACAGAGAGCGTGCCCCCCCAGACATCCATCCAATAATTACTTTCAGACACTATTAGTTTTACTGTGTGAGCAAATAGAAAAAAAAACAGTTATGAGGTGAGTTAATCATGGAGCTGATGAATGTTTAAATACAGTAATTTTGTTGTAATTCATCCTGTAAATGCACAAACTGATTTAGACGTTATCAGCATCATCGTTTCTGCAGTTCCTTCAGCAGATATAAGGGTGTAGCTGCACCGAGGGCCCTGGGAGGCTGTCAGATCAGCAGTAGTAGCAGATTGGTTGCGTGGGCGCCGCACACGACAACGTAGGAAGTGATCTGTCACGCTTTGCCAGAGACTCACGATGCCAGAAGCTCCGGCTGTGATCACGA